AGACAAGACTCTGGAGAATTTGCTGACCCTTCCACTGCTTAGAGTTACAGGGAGAGGATGGCCAGCTATGAACCAGGAAGCAGGCCCTCACCGCAAATCTGCTGGTGCTTTGCTCTTGGATTTTCTAGCCCTTCAGAACAATGAGAAATGCTTCTCTGTTGTTTAGGCCAACTAGTATACTAAAATACTAATATATTTCCTGAATTACAGACTTGACACAAAGTTTAGATTTAGGTCTGATCATAGCTCCCAGTATGATTTGCCTTTGTTGACTTGCTTATCAGCTAACTGGGCTTCCCAGGATATCCTAATGTTTTACCTGAAGTTTTGCAAAACTAAAGATGTTATACAAAAGCAGGACCCTCCACCCTGATATCCCACCTTTCTTTATTTGGTTCTATAAATTTGTTTTCTTTTTGAATGTTTAATTTTAGGGTGAACATTGTATTTTATTTTGGCTTACCAATTTCTGCAACTAGCCAAGATCATCCTGAGCCTAGAGAGGTGGTTAAAATATAAACACAAAATATAACGTGTTTATATTTTGTCAAATATTAGTTTTTAATTGTGTGTGTTTCTGTGTGTGGGTATGTGCATGTGAGTGCCGATACCAAAGGCTACTAGAAGAGGGCATTGGATCCTCTGGAGTTGGAGTTATATAGGTGTTGTGAGTTGTTCCACCAGAGATTTGAACTCAGGTCCTCTATAAGAGCAGCATGTGTTATTAACTATTTATTCAGCCATCTCTTTTCCTTACTGTAACTTCAACCAGGTAAGCCATGGCACAGGGCTCCTCTGCTTTCTAGAACATTTTTTCTACTTTGTTTCCACCATGATGATGGAAGCTAGATTAGTCATCTGTCCCACAACTTGTTTTTTTTATTTAAATGCACTGAGGCAGTATGGTTGGAAGCATCCTTGGATGTCAAGGGCACTAAGGCTCCCCAGGAACTGGGCATTCCTGACCTCACACATCCCTTAGAGGATGACCTTCACACCTCTTGACAGATCTAGGCAATCATAATGCTTCCAGTTCTGGATGCAACATTGTATAACAACTTCTTACCTAATATTTGTTCCTCACTGGATTCTGCCCAAACTGGATTGTCAATGTGCAGCTTTCTTATTAGGATTCTGCATGGAACATAGGGAGCATAGGTGGACGACTGGCGTGAATGATGGTATGTCAGTGATGGACAGCAGAGCAAGAGGAAGGACAGAAGAAAGGTGGTATCAAGGGTATTTGTGCTCTACTCAGACCAGGGACCCAAGCCTCAAACACGGTCTTCATGCCCAGAATTTACAAACAAATATGTTGCCAATTTATTCCTCTTTCCAAGAGGTTGATTAACATGGTCTAGGGGCTGTCATCCCCTCTTGTCTACTCAGCCTTGAGATGAAAGGCTGATGAGGGAGGCAGGCCATGGCCCCTCCCCATTTATAAGGCAGCTGCCACCAAAGCAAAAGATCCTCCCTCTCCTTCCTAAACTAAACAGTAGTTTGTCAAAGGGTGAATAAGAAGAAAAGTGACAATTTTCCTTTATGTTAATAAATTGCTTTGGCCTAAAAAAACATTAATCAATTTCTTTCCAAAGCATACATACTTCTCAATACTCTGCTATTTGCTTGGCCTTGAAAAGAAAGTCACTTTCAATTCCCTTAAACTGTCAAGACCACTGGGGGCAGACATAGGAGGGAGGGGCAGCTCCCTAAATCCTAGTGAATATAATGGAACCCTACTGTGTTTCCATAGAAACATAACGATGCATTCTTCCCTGAATGTACATGAGGAGAGGAGTGAAGAGCAAGGCTGTGGGCAAGGTATACAATGTCTGGAGTGCTGGAGGTACAGGGGATGAGGTGAGGCATTTGTCCCTAAGAAACAGAAGACAAAGCACTCAGTGAAGAGCAGAGTAGGCAGAGGCTGTGCCCCACCCCCGCATAGAGTGATCACATCTGTTACAGTTTCCCATCAGCATGACTGACTACCCAGTGAGGTTGTTATTATAACTCCCCCATACAGCTTAGTCCTTGGAAAAGAAGAAAGTTGTCCAAAGTCACCCATCCCGGAAGTGATGCAGCCTCAGCTCAAACCCAGGAGCACTCAACTCAAAAGCCTTTTGCTCTAGCCTCTGTGATGGGCAGCAAGTCAAGTCTAACAAGGGAGACAGGGTTTACATTCTGTCTTCTGGCTCATTCCTTTTTGGGCCTGCCAGCTCTGGGCCCATGATAGACTCACTCAGAAACATCTTCTATTAGGTTTAGAGCTATTGACAAATCTTGGGAAATGCAGGCAGTTCATTAGTGTTAGTTTGCTTTGGATTAGGTGGTCAGAAACTCCACAGAGTAGTTTAAAAGTAACCAAGGGTACAGGTATGCTCAGATAACTTGGTAAGAACACTTGGACAAAGACCTGAAAAGATAGGCTATCTGAGAGGAGGGAGGCATGTTTGGATCACCCTTCTCATTAAGCTCTGGCAAGCAAGCTCCACAGGGACGGTGTCCCAGTCTGTGTAGCCATGGAATTTTAGCACCAGAGTGGCTGGGTTGGTGGGTGGATGGGTAGGTGGATGGATGGATGGATGGATGGATGGATGGATGGATGAATGGGTGGATGGATGGATGGACAACATGGAGTCTTAGCATGAGCAGGTCTTACTCATTTGCTTTGACTCCACCTCGTACTCTATGGTGAAGATTGTTCTCTGCCTCAGTAGGTAGGGCAAGGCTATTTCAGGAGCTAAAAGAAAACTGTGAATATAGCTGTTCCTTATCAACCAAGTATGCATGCCTCCAGTGACAGAGGCTGAGAATCAAAGCTCACACCTTACTGCTTTAAATTCCTTCCTTGGTGCAATGCAGAGGTTTCCTGAGATGACTGTTTCCGGCCTCTGAATCTGTCTCCCAGGTTTCCTCCAGGGAGAAGGAGGTACAAGTGATGCTGACAGAAAGCTGCTTCATCACTCGAGACAATCTGGGGTGCATTACTGGGCAAAAGTAGAAGGGTGGGACTCAAGGTGTGGGCTTGGATACCTCTGCTGGATGAGCTAGCGAACCATGGGCTTTGGCTAGGAGGTCTCCAATTGTTGACACTGTGGGATATCACTTACTAGAGACACAAAGCCGCTGGCCAAACAATGGCAGTGCTAGCTGACCGGACTTGTAATCTCCCTGCCACTCCTTTCTCAGTGTCTTGAGCAGGAAGTGGCATATGGACAATAACTTCATCAATCTTGGTTGACTGTCTGGATGAACATGTGGTGCCTAATCTGTGCTGCATATCGAACACGCACCTGTTTTCTACACTTGCCTGTGATCCCGGGAATAGGAACCACATTCCTCCAGCACAGTGCCTCTCTCCTGCTTGAGATTAGGGAAGCGACTTGCAGTTGATGTACTCTGGAGCTTTGCTTTGAAAAACACAATCTGTGTTTCATCCATTATGTAGGTCACCCTGCCAGGATTATGTCCCAGTAGAGAGTACCAGAGAGTAGAAGAAAGCGAAAAGATGTCCAAAAGCGAGAGGCAAATCTGCCTGAAGGTTATTGATACCTCCTCCTGCTGGCTACATGACAGGCCACTCTGCCCTTCCGTCTCTTCCATTTCAGAATGCTCAGGACAATGCTGCGTCTGGGGCATCCTTTCTCCTATGTAGCAATTATGATCCACTTCTATGGCAATGCTAACGCTGATCTTAAGCTCTGGGAAGTGACTCGGGTCTCACAGACAAGGGCAGGTGGTCTTTTGATGATGGCTGATTTTCAGCACTTGCTGGGCATAAAGGCCTCTGCCAGTCACATGACATCCTAGAGTGATGTGGGGTCTTTTGTCTTCCTTACACAGTGTTTCATCTCTCCCCCACCCCACCCCCGGCTGATCAAGGGGCATACTTGGCTTTTATGAGTGTATTTCTGCCATTTTCTCTACTCCTGGACTTTCTGAGAATGCCCATAAGAAGCACTTAGCACTGAAATGCACCCAAAAGTGGAAGGGAAGGGAATGGTCAAGAACACAGGCTGGGCAGAGCTGCCTATCAGGATCCGTTCTTCCTAACCCAGTTCTCTGGGCACAGGGGAAACTGAGTGAGAGGAAGACAAATGGTCCCTGACACATGTTTACAGCCTCTCCAGGCATGAAGAGGCTGAGGAACATCAGGCTCCTCCCCTAGCCCCAGGTTCTTTGCTGACTCCACATTCCTCGGGCTTCTGGGTATCTTGGTCTCATACCGCCTCTTGTCTACCTCACAAACCTTTGCAGTGGTCACCATGTTACAAATGAAATACTCTGTATATTAATGACTCCAAACACACATACAAAATAGGAAAAAAGAGAAACTATCTACCCAAAGAAGAGTTTTTCAGTCTCCCTGTATAGAGGAATGCTAGAAGGTAGCCTTATATGTAAACCTCTCTAAAACACATTAGTAAGTGACAATTCAAAGAGCGTAATGTATCAATGGTAATAATGTTAATGATGGAACTAAAGCAGGAATAGGGATTATTGTAAGCCAGGCATTTCTCTGGCCATGTCATTTACAACTTTACATATACTGATTTCAAAGAAAGCATTAGCATTAGGGGCCATTATTACTGCTGCTTCCCAGATGAGGGTGCTAAGCTCAGTTTGATTATATGGGCCTTGATATCACTTACCTGTCAATGAATTGGTTTTTATGAATACTGTTTAAAAACATTAACAGAGAAGACCACTAAACAAAGGTGAGAAGGAAGCTAGGCCTAATAAGTACTGATTGCTGACATACTCTGTGTCTGATTTGTACTTGACAAAATGGGCTATCATTAAAAGTATCAATTGAATTTAATGGGTAGGAAAGGGAGAGTCTGTGAGATGACTCAACTTTCAAAGCCATACAGGTATTTGGTCCCTAATAGCTTAGTACCTGATCCCAAGGACCTGTTCTTGTGTGCTCTGGGTAACAGGATGATAAAGCAGTGTGTGTCATTTTGAAGCTACTCTCTTCCTTCCTTTCTGTCTTCCAGCGTAGAGTATGATTTTCGGCAGCAGGAAGGCAGGTTCCATGAGGTTCTCCAGAGCCTGGAGGAGGCAGAACCTGTGGAAGAAGCATCTTCCCCACCCAAGTCCCCAGCAGAAGCCCCAGCCCCCGAGAAACAGGACTTACGGCGAAAAAGCAAGAAGGTGAAGAAGAAATGCTTCTGGTGGATATGAGAGGATTGGGGCTCCCACATTCCTTCCTGAGATGGGGGTCCCCTGTCCTCAAGGCCTCCCTTCTCCTCTGCAAAAGCGTAGGCTGGGATCCCCTTGAGCCATGATACAGGAGTGCCTCAGAGCTGGTACACTGTTGGACACCTGCTCACCAACCTTACCTGACTGTATGTTGTTGCTTGCTGAGGATTTTTGTGGCCACTTGCTGAGCTGCCTGTCACACACAGCCAGGCCTCTTCCTCATCTGCTAAGTCCAGATCCCTACCGTAAGCAAACCTCCACAGCACCCCCAACCACCTCTCCAACACCAAGCATTTCCTTCCCGCCCTGAGATCATCAAACCCCAGAGACACAGAAATGAGTGTGTGCTGTGCACTGCAGAAAGAGAAAGGTTATAAGCAGGTATCCTAGCAAACATCACACAATGAACTGGCAGGGTTCTACCATCTATTGTACAAAAGCACAATGGAAGTGAGCAGCACCGAACAATGGCAGATCACCCTCATGTATTAGGTCGTCCTCGTTTTTAGCTAGCCCTTAGATCTCAAATCGAGGGGCTGTCTTCTTGTAAAGTATGGGCTGTGCAGGATGTGGCAGAATAAGGTTGCCCGTGGGCACAAGACACCTGTTGTGTGATCTTTGTGACTGGAATTCAAGTGACTTCCATAGCTGCAGTCTTTCAGGGGCCACTTAATTATCATGTGTCTCTGTATGGCAAGTGGGATATATATGAGAGGGGCTTCAACTTTAGGATCCCATCGTTCATTCACCTGGAACATTAAGGGTCATAAGACTCAGCAACTTGTACGTCAGTGTATCTTATCAAGCGACATTAATAAGGCTGAGCTACAATACAGCACTTTTTTCTCATCCACACATCCTTGTGACAACCATGTAGATAGGCCCAAACATGCTACTCTACAGTTTCCCTTCCTGGTGACCAGGCTCGGTCACCTGATCTAGGAAGAAGCAGGACTCAGAACAAAGATGAAAGCTCCTTCTTCCACAAGCTTTGAGTTCCTTAAGATCTGGCTCATCGTGTTCATAAGACCTCCACTCATGGATGTCTGGTCGAGCTTGCAGGCCAAGCAAACTCCTAAAGCAGTGTAATTAAGTGATTGCCCCACACCCACTCAGCCTGGGTGAGGCAAGGCTGCCAGTCCCGTGCATTAAATTCAGTGTTCTGCCGGCCTGTGATTGGACCGACACTGCCCAAAACAATGTGAGCCACACCTAAATGGAAGGAAGCATTTTGTATCCGCCCCCTTGCCGAAGACCTGGTGTCTGTGTGAGTGTCTGCTGTGCACATGTGATGTGCGTATCCCCCTACAAATTGAGACTGATTGAGCAAACCACCCCAACAATTGCACTTCCCCTGTCACAGTGCCGCCATGCAAAAGCTATTTCAGGGAGAGCGAGGGAAATTTGGCAAGGAATGTGGGCTTGCACTATTTAAGTCTTGGGATGTCATTCGAGATGTTCTTTCTCTGCTTCTAGTGTAATGTTTAAACCCACAAAGTGAGACCAGAATATATAATGTCAAGTTAGAATTAAGATAAATAGACTTGTCATGCTTAAGAAACCATATTTCAATTAGATATGTTACCACTGGCCAAAAGCCACAGATCTTTCTGTATCCACACACTCAACTCTCAGTTGGCCCCAGCAATGGAAAAAAACAGTGCAGAGGATAATCCAATAAAGCAAAATCATTTGGGATCTCTTACATAATTTTATTCTTGTAGCGATGCTTCCATCTTAATTTGTTTTGCTTACACTAATTTCAAATGAGTTTATATTCCAGTACATCAGGATGGAGTGAAAATATTCTTGCACTTAGATTCCAGAGACCTAGGCAATAGGATAGCCTATTCCAGTAACCTGGAGAAAGTGGTGTGATTGTGTCCTTCCTTGACCGGGCTGAGGAATGACTACTCCCCTTGACTTCTAAGCTACGTGTACCTTCTCTCAGTGTGTGTGTGTGTGTGTGGGGGGGGGGTACAAGCTGTGAGAGCTAACTGCAGCCTTTGCCCTGGCTAGCCCAGAAAGAATGGGAGATGTCTGGGGTAGCTCCTATACACGGTAACTTAGGGACCTTGCATAAACTCTGAGCTGAGTGAGATGAAGCTGAGATTGGAAAACGTTGGCATTCCTAGAAAGAAAACCAACCAAGGTTATATGGTTCTATACCAAAGCACACCACCACCACTACATTGAATTGCTTAGGCCACACCAATCTACACCTGGAGAGGAGGTTCCTTCTTGGCAATTGAATCCTGAAAATCAGTATGTGGGAAAAGGATTGATAAACACCAGCCTGCTGAACAAAAAGGATCATCTCTACATTAAATAAAAAATCATACTCATATATACCAAAACTCTCTTGTCTGCTACTCGTGTTGAATAGCAGTGCTTCTTTGTAAAATAGTATGTAAAATGATATTCTACAGAAATGTTATACTTGAGGTTATATGGTTTTATGGAAAGAGATTAATTTAGAAAAAAATTACTTTTATGAAATGGAAAGGACTGCTTAAACTGCAGGGGTTTAATGTAGCTTTTCCCTCTATAGTTAAAACACTCAGTATCCCTGGAACTTAATACCAGCTCATCTGTAGAGCGCCTTCTTGAAGACAATGTATCACTGTAAGGTTTTGTAAATTTCTAAACTGTTTTAAATGGGATATTATCTTTTGCAATAAACTTAAGTATTTTTTCTAGGTCTTAAGACTCCGTTATTAGCTTGGGTTGAGTTGAGTTGTGGAAACAAAACAACAACAGCAAACTCTTGGCCGCCCCAAAGACAAAGCTAGTTATGATGCTTAACTTATTTGTTTATAAACAAAAACAGATCCATAAATGCCTGGGACAGCAATCATGGAAGCTTTGTGTTCTGACCATAGGGGAGGAACCATTCCCAGCTGCTTTCATGTCTCATTCAAGGTTTACCTGTATGCACAGACACCCGACTCCAGCTTGGTTAATATTTTCCTTTAATTACGTTCTAATGAGCAGTTTAACTTAAAAGATACCTTTGTACCATCAATACTGGGAAAATTAGTATTGAGAAAATTGTTTGGTTAAATTCGAATGAGTTCCCACTTTTGAAAATTGAGGGATCTAAGCATGAGACCAGTTTATTTGTGGAAAAGGTATTTGCAAATATCTAAAATGTTCTAATAGTGGCACATTAACACCAAACCCATTTTCTCTTTGACTAGTCAGAAAGAGAGAGAGAGAGAGAGAGAGAGAGAGAGAGAGAGAGAGAAATGAAAAGAACTCACTCATGAAGTGAGTCAGCATTTGCTCTGCTGTGTCACTGAAGTCTTGTTTCTGTCTGGAGGATGAGCCTCCCACTCTGGAAAATATCAACTTAGAGGAAATGAAAACAAAGCAAACACCCTGGACATGGAATCAGAAGTTTGGGGTTTGACAGCACTCATTTTCCTGAGTGATCTCATCAACTGAGCTTTTGATCTCGTGTCTTATGAACCAGAACCCCCATTTTAAGAGAACAGTTGTCAATTAACTGAAGGAAGCTTTAAACACAGTGTAGGGTACACAGCAGGCACCCAGTAAATAAACATTCATTCCTTTGCTCATTGAAGCAAATTGGGAGGGAGAAGGGCAGGTGTTTCCATGAGGCAGCAGTTGGTGTCAGATGCAGGTTGAAGTTCCTCCCAGGGCCAGGAAGTAACTGATTCTGGCTTATCAAAACCTCAGCAAGCTGGACAATATATGCTAAGTAGTGTTTGATGGCTCAGAGGAACACATGGGCCAATAGTACCTAGTGTAGCATTCTAGGTTAAAAAAAAAAAAAAAAAAAGGATTGTTGTAGCATAGCATTAAATTCCCAAAAGTGGAAAAGGGAAAAGCCTTTGAGGGCCAAGCCCTCCTGTATGCAGTGTGAGGCAGCTAGGTATAACTGGATGATTTGCCCAGCTCAGCTAGTAATGGGGAAATGGGTCCTGGGAGCACCAATGTTAGTGTGCAGTGTGTGAGGAGCTGCCCCATTCCAGCCACCACCAAGGTTGGACTTGAAGTCCATTCTTACCCTTGTCAGCTGAGCAGTTTCCCCAGCATGATCTTCACTCGAAAAGGATCTAAGTTTAGATCACTCCGGGCAACTTAACAGATGCCGAAAATATGTCTGCTTTTAAGTTCCAAGCCACAGTGATGTTTTATGATTGTTACTCCCATCAAACAGGAAAAGGCTGAGGCTGGGGCACACCTCCAAAAGTCAATGCCAACTGTTTGCTATGATCCACATTTGGCCAATGTAATGACCATAATCAGCCTTTTGAGTACTTCCATTTCAATTTCCTCCCATCTCCCTTAAACCAACTGACAGCCCAAATACCTAGTGACCATGTCTTTTTTTTACCACCCCATTCTTCTTGCCCACCACAGTAATATTCCCTGAGGGCTGTGTGAGAACCTTTCTTCCTTCCACACCGCACCCCTCCCTGACCATGGTAGGTAAGGCTATCCTTCCCAACCACTACCATGACCACAAACCACAGCAGATGTCTTTCTTTATCATTTACTTTCACCAGGGACCTTGCCCTCAGAGTCCATGACACACAGTCCTTGAACATATATTTCCATCATTCTATAGTGAGTGTATTTGTCTCTATAATTTTCCTGAGGCAGGAGTCCTGCTTATTGTCCGCTGCCTATGTATGCCCAGCACTCAGCACAGTGGGGCTTAGATGGTGAAGGAATAAGTTAAGCAGTAAATGGAAGTGAAGGAGATACTCACTCTCAACCCCTGTTTTCCCCCTGCCTGAGGGATGGGCACTTGCAAGGGATGACACACTGCTGGCACCCAGCCTCTGTATCAACATCCACAGAATTGGAAGCTTTAACAACAATAACAACGACAGAAAAAAAAAAATACCCCAAAACACTGCCCAAGGCCTTCAACTCTTCTTTGGTCAGCCTGGCTTTCAGGACACAACTGTCCTCACCCTGCACCTTTATTGACAGCCCTACTTAACCTTGTTTCAGAACAAATTGCCATCATAATTAAATCCCAATGCATTCTGCACATTTTTACTAAGATACTGCCCAACTGTGTGAGGAAGAAAATGAGTTTTGAAATTAAAGCAGATTGTTAACTATTTTTGCTGTAATGTTTCTATTAAAATGCCAGCATTTATTACATGTGACCTAGCCCATTTCAGACACAATGCAATTTAAAACAGACAGGGGCTGTCTACTCAAGGAGCATTTTGAATGAAGAATTTTTGCTGTGGCTTCAACCAGGATTAAAGTAAAAAGACAATAATAACATCACACCAAAGGATTATTTGCTCCCAAACAAATAAAAGCTTTATTATCATAAAAGGCTTTCAAAAAAATTTCAAAATCCATAAGTATGTTAAATTTCATTCAAATGAAACCCATTATTTTTCTTCCTGACAGAACCTGAATATACATTTTTTAGACCATTCTCTAGCCCAGTGACCTCTACTTGGCGCACCAGCCCGGTTGCCCAGGCAGCACACTCAATATTATGACATCTGGTTATGCTAACAAAGCAGCCTTCTCTCACAGGTACCAAACCCAATGAGGTATTTCAATTGCTGGAATATTTACCACAGACTCGCCACTGAGCACACCAAATAATTGAACCCCACCCCACCCTAGACAGAAATCATAGACAAATGGCAGAAGGGTCTTGGAGTTATTTGTTGTCATTGTTTTCTGTTTGCATTTTTTTCAGATACAGAATATTATATCTTCAGTGGTTTAGATTTGAGGATTAAAGAGAGTAAAATCAAAATGCAACTCAAACTGTCAACAATTATAAATTCAGACTGCTGCCCTGAATACGATATGCAGGGTTAGATCTCCGTCTGTTCTCTACTAATAGGTACCGCTGGGGTCTGAAGAAACAGATGAACCTTAGTCCATCATCCGTGCATAGTTTCTGAGCCTCTTTTCTGTGTCTTGCCTACTGCCAAAGACACTGAGAAACTACACATACAACCCTGATCTCACAGGGCATATGGTTTAATGAGGGCGGCTCCACAGAAGTAGAGGTCCCTCCCAGGTTTGCTCTATCTAGATGTCACACCACTCTCCTTTGATCTGAAGAGGAGGATGTAAACACTCCTGGGATTCTGTCCATCATCCTGCTCCTCCTTCCACCACGGGGTAAACTCCTTCAGTGAGCCTTTTGAGATAGATGGTTGGCCAAATCATCCTTGATTCTTGTCTCCCTAACTATACCCCACCATCACCTCAGAGCACAGATGCTCACTTCCATGGCAAACAAGGCTCATAACTGGATTCTAAGCTAACCCTAACCTCAACCACCACCCCCTAACTTTTACCCCCTAACTCCAACCTCTTGTTAGCTCCTTGCCCCTTCCTATCTCATCACCACTGAAAGAAGTCAGAGGATGCTAAATATCTCTGGTTGCATCTTCTCTTCCCACTGCCTGGGACACCATCCATCACCCATCTATCACAGGGAGTAATTTGCACTTTGAGGAAGAACAAAAGATGGGGTTTGCAGTGTCATATTAATAGTGTAGATACGGGTCGGCGCCTGAAATCTCAGGAACTATGAGACCAAGACAGGAAGAGAACAAGTTCAAGGCCAGTCTGGGCTACAAAATGAGACTCCACATTAAAGGAAATCAAAACTAACTGACCAGACAACAACAAAAACCCAGTAATAATACGCTTCTCTGTTTCCTTGAAGTGACAGTGCATGATTACCAGCACTTCACCGCTCTCACCGCATTCGCTCCTCAAACATTTCCCACAGGGGATTTACGGCGACTGCCACTTTCCAGCAGAATGGATGGAGGCTTAAGGAGAAGGGAGCAATTTGTCAAAGTCCAAAATATGGAGGGTGGGAGTGGGGGTTGGAGGATAAAGTCCTTGTTATGTCTGACAAACTTGGGAGCCAGGGCTCTTAAAACCTCCCTGACAACAGCAAGCACCAAATTAAACATCATCTCCTCCCTGTAACTT